GAGGGTAGTGGGGGCAAATAAGGAAGGTGCAGGTTGACTATGATTTTCCAGAACTTTACTTTACTTTACGAAGATATTCCATTGATATTTTTGAGTGGATGTTAAAAAATAATGAAAAAGGAAAATATAATACAGGGTTGGTGCAGTCGTGGGCGGCTATAGTAATGGGAATTCTGTCCGGCAGCGTTCCATGGTTCACCATGATGATCCTTCACAAAAAATCTTCTCTCCTTCAACAGGTCCTCTTCCTCTTTTTTTTAATATTCATATTAATATTGGCTAAAACGAAGAATTAGAAAATGACTAATTCTTTCATTGAACTATTTTAGTTACATTTGATTCATAAATAAATTTGCTAAAATGAAATAGTCATTTTTTTATTTCGTTTGATTAGTAACTCAATTAGAATAATCATTTTTAACATATAATAATTATTGAGAGCATATATATTATCTTGTCAAAAATCAAAGTGTTAGACGAGTTTTTAAAGACTAAATAACAGTTTTTTATGTTTTAACTTACTTTTTTTTAAGGAAAAATGATAATGATATACTTCTGAATTATATCAATGATAATGCTATCTCTTAAAATATTATAATTTCATTCAAATTTTTAAAATTTTTTTTGTCATTAATAAATTCATTTAAATGATCAAATTATCTTGGTAGCAATATTGAAATTTGAACATACGAAACTGTAATTTGTTCTTGCATTATTATAAATATAAAAAAAATTATAATTATTTAAATAAAATTTGTGATTATTACTTGTTATTTTTAATCACAATATAATGATTTTTATTTTTAACAAGAATAATTTAATTATTTATATAAATTTATTAATGATAAAAAAGCTCCTAAAAATTTTAGTAAAATTATGACACTTTAAAAAGTTAATTTATCATTTATAGAATTTAAAAAAATTTTATTATCATTTTTTTCATGTCTAAGGATATATATATATATTGGTTTTTTTTTTTTTCCTTGTATCTTGAATCTTGATAGAAATGTAGTATTCTTTTATTTCCTTTTGCTTTTTTTGCCACGCTTAATTAGAAAGCCACGGTTTATCCGCGGCGTTCCCTTCACCTAATTTCTTTCCTTTTTTTTTTTTAATTTCATGAGACAATATTAATCCCATCATATAACATCACTCACAATATTGCATTATCATAAGTGCTTCATATCACGTCAATGCAACTACATGTCGAATTGTTGATATTATTTTAGCATAGAGCTTGATTTATTTATTGATATTCATATTAATGTATACATATACATACCAACAATAAAATACTTTTTCTTATAATTTCAAATGAACAATAAATAAAAATGCATATACACATCATGGATGTAGGTAGATGACACCCTGGGAGTATTTCACACGCACGCAGTGGCGGGGCTTTTGGGTGGCCTCCTGACTGGTCTCTTGGCGGAGCCGGAGCTTTGCCGGCTGATATTGCCGGTGACCAACTCGAGGGGCGCCTTCTATGGCGGCAGTGGCGGCATTCAGTTCGTGAAGCAGATTGTGGCAGCCCTATTTGTGGCGGGATGGAACCTGGTGTCCACCACCCTCATTCTTCTGGCCATTCGTCTCTTTATACCGCTGAGGATGCCGGACGAGCAGCTTGAGATCGGCGATGATGCCGTGCACGGCGAGGAGGCCTATGCACTTTGGGGTGACGGAGAGAGATATGAACCTAACAAGCATGGCTCCTCAGACATTCATGGATCTGCGGTGTCACCGTACGTGAGTGGTGCAAGAGGCGTTACCATTAATTTATAGAGACCATCATATTTTACCATTTAGAAATGTATATTTCTTGGATTTTTGGTCTTCGATGAATTTATGTATGTGTGAGATTTAAAATACGTGACATTTCCCACACATACATGAAATTTCCGACGTATGCTGTTTTATTTTGTTGTAAATCTTTCTGCGTTTTCTGAAGTCAAAATTTAGGTGATTGTTCATACATGAATATGACGTGATCTTGATGAAGAAATCAAAAGAAAGAAATTATTCTTTTTTATTTTTATAGAGATATTTCAAATTAATTAAACTATATATTATTGTTTTGGAGTAGTCGTTCTTGAAGCAGCTAAAACTGCGAGATCCATCAATGCCTGGAAATTAAAGAAATTATTACTTTTAGGCTATGTTCAATAATTACCGTGGAAGAAAGAAGTCTCAAGGAAAAACAGACCAACGAAGAATTCCTTATCGTATATGTCTAAAATTATCAAAGAATATTGACACTGCCCTTTTAGGCTATGTTTTTAAGGAAAGTATGTCTTATTTGTGCGTCCTATCATAAAAGAAATAAGACAGTGCTATTTTGCCCTCACTTATAAAAATATTTGGATTATCTTATCCTTTGGAATTTTTAAGATCATCATTATTTTATATAAATATTTAAATAATGTTATTTCTGTTAAATTTTCACAACTTACAAATTCTCGCCCTTTTCATTTCCCTAAAAAACGAGTCCATTTTACATTAAAAAGAAAAAGCTTAATAATGTTGTCACGCTCTGTACTTTGAATCTCTCTTTTGTTTAGCCGGCATGATTTCAATGTTCACGTGAAACGTAGAAAATCCAAAAGAAGAATGTTCACATGGACACCTCTCTTAACATAAATTAAAATATTGGTTGGCTACACTATAAACTCTTTTTGCTAAATCCAATCTCATCAGTCCGTATGTTGAATCTACAAAGCAGCAATGTGACGAAAATGTGATTCTCTCAAATCCAAGCGCATTAAATGGTTTTGTGGGGCCATACTTGTCCTTTGTCCATGAAAACTCGAAACGTTACACGTAAGACCACCTTCATTGGCGGTCTCCCTTTCATTTTTGAAAAGTCTTCAGTTATCGCAGTCTCTTCGGACCACATGCCACGTCCCCGTCTTGCCATTTCTGGGATCGTCGTTCATGACACGCTCATCAACTTGCTTTACTCGCTTAGGCCCCATACTTTCAATTACTAATTGAAAATTATCAGATTGGCAGCTCCAAATAGGATATGAGACAGTGTGAATTAATTATATACTCACTCCCTCCTCTGATATTTAATACAAGATAAATTTTAAAAGTTGTCTTTAATATAAAGCAAAGTTAAAATAATTAATTTGATTTTCCAATTTTATCTTTGTTTATTTATCATATTTTAAATTTCTTGATAACAACTTATTATGACTATTAATTACTTAGAAGGATAAAATTAAAAAATAATATATTTTTTAAATAAGTATGAAGTTGGTTAATTTTATTTTATATTAGGGATCGAAAAGAGTGGCTCATACATTTAAAGCTAGAGGTACTATTAAAATTATCAAATAATCGATACTTCTTGCCTGAAAGTATGTCTTCTTTACTTGGTATAGGAAAATGTGCTTCCTATCATGAAAGAAACAAGGCATTGTCAATTTCGCCCTCACTTACAAAATATTTGAACTATTTTGTCCTTTCTTACATCTAAAATAGTTTCCTTTAATTTTTTAAAAAGAGTATTATTTTGTATAAATATTTGGATGTCATTTCTCTTAAAATTATTAATTTTTTTTATGTCAGAATAGTAGTGTCTACGACTTGGAAGACTCAATTTGAGTACATTTTTAATTTTAAATTCAAATTGATACAATTAATCAATTACGGTTCAGAACGCATACAGTGAAGGATCACCTCTTAATCATTATCCATCACCTTCCAACAATACAGTGGAGGTTGATTAAAAAAAAATTAAAAAACCTTATCTAGTTAGAATTATTGGTAGCTAACATATGACCACAGCCATTAGCCTCTCTAAACATAAAAGACAAGGAAATATAGCAATTCCTAAACCAACGAAATTTAGCATAGTCAATTATATCTCTAGACGAGGGTAAAGCAGACTGTGTAAGAAGATTCAGGACCTCTGTATAATCCGTAAAAACAATAATATATTTGAGCTCCATTTAGAGAACCTCAAAGGCTAAGAGAACAGACAGATGCTTCATCTGTGGCCAAAAATCTGAAAGCTTCTAAGGCACCATAAATCCCAGCGTATATATCCAAACGGAATGTTCCAGGGGATGTGTTCTAATTTACGGGTCCAACCAAAGGACCGATGTCCCCCAAAATGTCACTCTCCCAAATCCTCAAATGGGCTTGTGGGGCCCCGACACGTTCTTCGTCTTTTGAAATGATACAAATAATTTCATAAGAAAAATGATACCCGCCAAGAGCATCTATCATCACCTTCTTCGGAACTTGGAACTCTCACTCGGACTTTTGAAAAGTCTTCAGTTACCGCAGTCGCTTGAGACCACGTGCGACGCCAGTCTTTAACGTCATTCTCGGATCATGGCATCCCTTCGAAGTTCAAACCGCGCCGATGACATTCTACCATGGCCATCCTTTTATCTTTGCATATAAAATATTTTTAATTAAATTACATAAATTAATAAAAATTAATTATTTACTTAGATATATAATAATATTTTAATTTTACTTTTAATTATTATAAATAAAAAGATGAATATCCTTTTTTTAAAGTAAATGAGTACTTTTTTTTTTCTATTCTAATGAAGTAAGGTTATAATTCATTTATTAAAAAAAATATCCTAACAACTTTTCATAATTAGAAATAAAATTTTTTTAAAAAAAACCTCTCACATATAGATATGTATAGATATGAAGGGAGCAGATAGTTCATATTTTTTCCCTTTTTCTTTAAATCATAGTTTTTTTTTTCCTAATTTTTTTATCATTTTTTTTTTGACTCATCAAGGTAAAACATACTCTAAACTCAAAAAACACTTACAAAAAATTTACAAATTATTCACTAACAAAATCCTTGCATCAAGAATAAGATTTAAATCCATAACTTTGTCGGTTATGCCAAACATAAAAAACTGTCACATTATTCATATATTACAAACAGTGCTGTTTGGCATAACATTATGTTTTATAGATATTGATTTGATTTTTTCAGAAAAAAATTGCACCACAAGGCAATATAAAATTATAAATCCATCGTGTTCTTGGTTAATATGATGGGCCGAAGTTACAGAGTATTACAGCAAATATATCCTACAGGGTAAACCGATTAATGGCATCTCGGTGAAAAAATATGATAATTTAAAATACGGCCGTGAATCGAAACTAAATAATAACAATGACACATGTTACAACCATGAAAATAGTGAAATGAATATAAAATCAAAATGCAACAATGAATCTAACTTCTAAGGAGTAGGTTTATCTTGTAAATATTTTATCTAAATCAAGCTAAAAATTCGAACCTTGAATTTATAAGCAAGGCCCAATAATATGGCGTTGATCAGGCTTTATAGTTGAGCGTGTCATACAATTTCCAATACGACCAGAGCAACTATCAATCGAACTGCTCCCAATCTTGAGTTACCCAGGTTGAAGTTGAAGACGATAACGTTGAGGGTGGGGTGTTCCCATTTCCCTGCTCAGAGTCGAAGGTCTCCCATTTGGTTGTTACTGACACACTGTTGCTGAAACCGTGAAAGGGATTGCCATTTCTTGACTTTAAAGAATCTAATGTATCCACGTAATTCTGCACACGACACACCTGTTGAAGGGTGGCAAAGTTGATCTTCAGGCTTTCAAATTATAATAAGAGATGATGCATTAATCAAATACAGGTAATAACAGAAATGTGAAGGTCACAACTGTGACAATATAGTTGAGTAGTGAAACTATGCATCCCTTCATTCCCAATGGTTGCTAGATAAAATCAGAAATTGGTATCTAAATAAATACTCAAAAAAAGAAAAAGAAAAGACAAAAAAAAATTGCTGAGAAGACAAAAACAATACATAAATGAGGACAAGATTACTTTTAATAGCCCTATGGGAAGAGTCAAGAGGGTTAACAACTACTCTTACCATGAGAGGTTTGGCCGAATTTTAGAAGATTTTACTCTACCTCAGTTGTTGCAGATTCATCCCTCAAAAATGCACAAAACATAGTTGCCGAAGGACATGGAGCTACAATGAACCTCCATTAAAGAATACAACTTCAATTTTTTCATTGTAACTTGACATTACTTACTCGCCTACAATTGGTAAACATATTGCATCTGCACCTATTTGCTATATTACTTCAGTTTATTTTTTCACTTTTAATAAGAATTTCGGCTAGCTTCAATTCATTGAATCATACTGCTAAATTACGATGGGAAAGAAGTTACGAAGTCTCATGATAAGCACAAACAATTTTCATGAACATGATGGCACAATATTGAGCAATACTGCACGTCTACATCAATTCAAACAAACCGTTGCACATTATTCCACAACCTGCTTTATAATTTACAATAAAACGAAAAGAAACTATACATTTCCCCCTGTGCAATGAACGTGACATAACAACATAAAGTTTCTTGAAAACTGTACTCATCTTTTTAAGACTTGAACCCTTTAAAATATGTAGAGAAATATTGAACAAATAGAAGGAAAAAAAATGTTGCAGGGAACCCCAAAAGAATTGCAATACTCGTGGTTTGTGAATAGGGCAACCTCTTATGTATTTAACATTTTATATAAGTATTGATAGTCATCCCTGACTTACCAGCACAGGGGATCACATTAATAAGAAAATTCCATCAATCAGAGACAAAAAGTTAAAATTTCAATCCACAATGACACCACATATTCTACCCCAGCATCCATGGCTTACCAATATAGAGGATCACATGAATAAGGAAAATGCATTGATCTCACAAAAAGAGTCAAAATTTCAATACAGTAACAATAACACCATGTATTCTACCTCAGCTTTCCTCTGCAACTTTGCTTCACCCTCAGCCTCAATACCATCCAGTTTCAGCAGTTGCCTCATAAGTAACTCAGTCAAGACAAGAAACTCATTCTCAGAAACCTGGAGCCCCCCATCAACGGCCGTTTTTATGGCAACCACCTGGAAAACTTAAATAATTTATATGATAATTCTCCAGCTACAATGTTTCTGGAACACTTATATTGGAGATAAAGGTGCTCACCCTCTCTGAGAGCTTGTCCACCTCTACTTTGACTCCAGCAATATCTTCAGACGCTTTTGAAATCTCTCTGTCCTTTGTAATTTCCTCATGTTTCTTCTCTCTGCTATTAGCATCATCCAAGAGCAAAATCTTTGACTTGTCCTTCACACCTTCAATGTGCAAGTGTTCTTCATCCTCTTTTTCCTTTCCTCTAAAGAAAAGCCGCTGCTCTTGAGGATCTAAACCAGTTGTATGCGTAAGCAGATTCTTGACATCCCCTGTTATCAAGTTACCCAAAGGATATGTGCACAAAAATCAGTGAGAACGTAATATATCCCTTAGCACATGCGTCTTTTAAGGCAAGCACCACTTTTCCAAAAAGACTTCGATGAACAATCAGTCAATACCATGATTATGAGCAAAAACATCAATATGCTTTCTTCATATATGAGTAGGATAAAAAATCAAGTCAAAGTAACATTTTTATCCATGTACATTGCTTTGAGTCCAAGAACTTCCAATCATATTATGGTTCTCGCATGATTGTATTTTACCACGAAAGAAAACAAGTCCTTCTATTAACTCTTATTTCAGAATTTTAGAAATTATTGGAATAGCATATTTTTATTTTCTAAATAACACTGAAACATGACAAATGCACAAATATCACCAATTTAAGGTGTCTTGTCTAAATCTTTAAGGCAGAACTATGGGAGCATTTCAGCAAATATTGTTGAGCTAGTGAAATCAACCCAAAATTTTTAGCCATTATAAGAAAATATTAGAATGTATATTAGTTCCTATAATTTTCTTCAGAGATATTATATTACCTCTCTCACACCAAGTTCGTTTACTTCGAGTTTGATAACTACCATTACACACGTTCTCACTAATTTTTATTGGCTATGTGAGAAAAATTATGATGTTTTCCATAGGATTTAAAATTTCATCTAGTATCGCAAACATATCGTTCTAAACAGATTCTCCACTCACCTTAACATTAGAATTCCAATTTACACCTTCTAGAAAAAGAAAGCAATACCCCTCCCTTCTGCTAGCATTGTCCATGAACAATTGGACAGAAAAGTTCAGTATCTTAAACTGAATATACTATTAAACTCAGATATAAATGAAATCATCAAAGAATGATACTATACTTTACACAAGAAAACGCAATGTCCATAATGGAATATCAATTTATGGTATCCACAAAATAAATAGCAATTTAAATTCTTCACCCACATATTAATTTATAATACATGATTTATAGCACTGAATCCAACAAAACAACAGCAGTCCCAATCCCAAGAAGCTCCCACCTTAAGCTGTTAGACATATCATACAAGACCAAAGACCAATATGAAACACTGTTATCCTGCAGAGTCCCAAAATCCAGCTCGCCGAGGACTTAACAAGCAGGATTACAGGGCATCATGCTGGCACGGTGACACAACAAAATATGTAGCCTGTTTTTAAAACGCTGCAATTTCCTATCCGAAGACTCGATGTAGCTTTCCAAGTTCAAGATGAATTAAAACATGCAATCAAATTCGATGCTTCAAATTCAAGAGTAATTGAAGAAACACCTAAAAGGAAGACAGGAGGAACTTACAGAAAGTAGATTGAGCTGGGAGCTGAACCTCGTGCAGAGATGAACCATGAGAGACATTAATCTTGATCATGGGCACACCAGGAGAAGAAGAAGAAGTTATACTACTATCATCTTCAACACCCACCTTGGGTCCTTGGAAGAATGCTCCGACGCGACTCATGTCTCTACTTATGGACTGGTCGTTCTGCGCCGCCGGTGACGTCTGATTCATCAGACTCCAGTCAATTCCAAAGTTACAGGAAACGAAACGATTCCGAGATTAAAGTGGAAGAGAATTTTTGAGTAAGCTAACGAAGTGGACAGAGTTTGACAAGACGCAGAGATTGTAGCAGCGAGAAGAGGAGGAAAAGGGTTTGGAGAGGAGGGACGGAAAGTGAATGCCCGGATGGGTTGAAAAATTGAACTCAATATAGTTCAGTTCAGAAAAGCGTCTTGTTTGGTTTCATTTTCGTATAATCCTAAACGGCTAAACCCTTAATTTCATAATAAATAAAAAAATTAAAAAAAAAACTTCCACGGTTAACTTTTAAACGTTGATAATATATTCTTTAATATTAATTTATTTAAATTTAATTTTTAAAATAATAATAATTAACATAAAATCATTAAATGAAAAAAAAATATTTTATAAAATTAAAGGATAAAATTAAAATTAATTAAGAAACACTCGACAAGCACGACTTAACTTTATTATTGTTTTTTTCCTCTCCAATGTTTCTTGTTTTAATCTTAGACAATCATGATATTTTTAATAGAAACATTTGAAATGGCACTTGCCTCAAAGCCTTCAAGTTCATGGGATCTTAAAGGAGTCTCTGGGTATATTATGCAATCATATGGTTCAGTAAAAGTTCATGCAAAAAGTTCCAAGGGTCTGAAAGGAAGCTCAGTAAAAGAATTCTGCAAAATTAGATATTCTTCAATCATATAGTTATACAATTGTTTTTGAGCAAAAGCAGTCGATTTTATCAATATCCAAAGAATTATTACACTCACTAATCAGACTCAAGAAAGCAAGAAAACCCTCTAGTATAAGACTCCAAAAAACCACCCAGATACAACTTCCCAATCCCATATAGTTATACATTTAAAGAAGAAATAACAGGGATGTGGGGTGTATATTTTATACAATCTTTTCAAAGATTAACCAAAAAAAAAAAAAGCAGCTGAACTCAAGCTTTGCTTGCCACTTGAAACTCAAAAAAAATATTAGGAAAAAAAAAAAGGAAAAAGCAGCTTAGTTACAAGATGGTTGGGGGAGGAAAATTTGATTAAAAGATGGGCAGAGAACATGCAAATGTTCCCCCGAATTGCAGGAATATAGGTTGTCAAGTGAAAAGTAATAGTACAAGAAGGGTGATTGAAGGTGGCAGAGGGCAATAAACACGGCATTTCTTGCTTTTGAATGAGATTGACCTTATAGAATTCTCATCATGTAGTAACTCAAGTGAAAAATCTTCAAGAGACATTCATCAATTCGATCCATTCTCCGTACGAATCAATTAATAAATTTGTGTGTGTAGGTACGTATGTTAGTTAAAACCTTCACATCTCAGACAATTCTTTTGGTGCCTTCTGTTCTGAACTCTTGTGGACATTTGAAGAGAGATTAAGACAATCCACCATCCACCGAAATTGGGTCAAGTTGTAATGTCAAGAAAACTCTGCGGAAGAAAATGACCCGTTTGGAGCATGACGCTTTCCAGTAATTTTTTTAACCAACTTGAATATATTAAAATAAATATCTATTTCAAACCCAGCGGCCATTCCTTTCACTTCTTTACCTTTAATTTAGATGAAGAGAAAAATAAAGAGAAGAAAATATTAGGAAAAAATTTCAAAAAAATGACTTTTTTTAATCATTTTTTAAAGTTTTTGTTTCTAATATTCTCTCATACTTATTTTTCTGTCATTTTTTCCATATCCAAACTAACTGTTATCTGACAGTTAGGATCAGGACCCTCAGTTTTTATACTCACATTTCGTTTGCATATCATGTGATCTGAGACTGAGAATAGTTCAGAAAATTCGGTTGGTCCAACTTGTAGCGTAAGTAGTTATGTTACTCGGACACGGCACTAATATGCGATGTTAATAAAATTTATGCAAACATTTAAATCATTAATGATAAGTGATGAAAATGTCCTTTAGTGTTAGTTACTCATTTACTATAAAACTGTGATGTGATGACAAAACTTATCCCAAATAATAATAATATATACTACTCACTCCGTTCAAAAATATAAAGCATGTTTAACTGAATATCACTTTAATAAAGTAATTATCTACTTTTAAATTAATCTTATTTTTTATATTTATCTTTATTAAATACTTTATAATAAATATAAAGTTATTATTAATAGAGATGCTTTTAAAAAAATATAATAATTTTATCTCAAAAAATTAAAAATATTCTATATTTTTTAACATTTAATTTTTTAAAAAACATTTTATATATTTGAACTTAGGGAATATATTATAGACATGCTTTGAGATTTTTTAACACGTGAGTAAACACCGGCCGAAAAAAGTTGATAGCATCATGTTTCATTTCGGCAATTAATGAACCGATCATTTTGACTTCCACAAACAGTAAAGAAAAACTGCATCATTAAATTTGAACTCATTAAAAAAAAATAAAATCAGGAGGTCATATGGCTCGTGAGTGTGCATATTGAAAAATTAGAGCACACTACAAAAAGACTTCCATATTATGTTAAAATGCATATAGATTTGAATTTTAATTTTAATTTCAGCTAAATTTATTATTTAAATAATTAAAAATATATGAATTTATATTTGATCCAAATTTAAAATCAAGTTTCACCTCAATTTTTTTTTAATTTAAAATCTTTTTCAAATCTCTATTAATCTAAATTCTAACTAATTTCTTTTATAATTTGATTAGCTAGCCGAAAAAGATAGGACTGAACCGGGACAGGGTTGCCATTGTCAACCTAGACCAAACTTCCATCGTCGACCAAGATTAGACTGCTAGTATCAATTGAGACTGAACAATTGACTTTCGTTGGGACCAAACTATCAATGCTAACAGGGATCGAAAGACTGACTTCTACAAGGATAAAACCACCAGTGCCAACAAGGACCAAAGCGTGGGCGACAATCAAGACAAGACCGTCGACTTCTACTAGGACCAAACAACCAACTTTTACTATGGCTGAACTACTAACAACGACGTGGACGGGACTATCGATGACAATTGGGATCAGATGGCCGACTTTCATTAAGACTTGACCTCCAGTAATGACAAAGACATGGCAACCTATGATGATTGGGATCGAGCGGCCTCCTGCAACCAAGATCAAACCACCAGCACCGATCAAAGTCATCGGTCTGGTCTCAATCACGGTGGGAGCCAACCGTTCAATCCCTATTGCATGTGGCAATCCAATGTTGGTGGGAGCTATCGATTCTATTCTAGTTGATGCTGATGGTTTGATCCTAGTTGAAGTTGGCCGTTCGGTCCCAATAGGCGCTGAATTATTTCAAAATGTATGACTTTAATTCTATGATGATTGGGATCGTGCGGCCTCCTGCAACCAAGATCAAACTACCAGCACCGATCAAAGTCATCGGTTTGGTCTCAATCACGGTGGGAGCCAGCCGTTCAATCCCTATCGCATGTGGCAATCCAATGTTGGTGGGAGCCATCGATTCTATTCTAGTTGATGCTGATGGTTTGATCCTAGTTGAAGTTGGCCGTTCAGTCCCAATAGGCGTTGATAGTCTGGTGTCAATGGAAGTTAGCTGCTTAGACTATCGACTTTTATTAGAAATGGACCACCGACGTCATCTGAGTTTCTTTTAAATTTAAATATAGAATTTAAAATTTAAAATTTTACTTTAAAATTCAAAGAAAGAATTTTATTATTATAATTTAAAATTTTTTATATCATTTAAATAAAAAATTTAGAATTTATAAATTTTAAATGTAAGATTTTAAATTAAAATTTTTAACTAAATTCACCCATTTAAATGCACCTTCAAAGAATTGAAGAAATTATAAAAACCATTTATTAGCTGAACCCGTTACCACCATTCCAAGCTTCCAACAATATGTTCACTGGAAGAAAGCTTTCAGAATGAAAATGATCATGAATTATTTCAAAACGTAAGACTTTTGAAGGGGTTCATAAATACTCAAGAGTGGTATCTCTTTAATGTTTTATAAATCGTCAGCGAAAGGTTTCTCTTTTCGTAGATTCATGAATTACAAAGTTTATGAGCCACCATCAGGGTATGAATATTTAAAGAATCACCCTAATGTTCTGGTTGGCCGTCTTAGCATGTTTTCGGAGGACCAACATTATGTTTAGGCTTTAAACTGTTTGTCCTCTTTTACTTTTCCTTTTCTTCTTTTCAATCTTTTGCTTGCCTTTATATCCAATATATATATATATTCTTTTCGTTTAAAATTATAAAATGTTTTTAATTAAATTTTATTTTTAATAAAATAATTATTTATTTTTAAATTAATCTTATATTTTTATATTTTTCTCTATTAAATATCTTATAATAAATATAAAATCTTTCATTAATAAGGATACCTTTAAAAAAAGCAATGATAAAAATTTAAAAAATTAAAAATATTTATAATTTTAAATATTCAACTTTTTAAAAAATATTTTATATTATTTAATGGAGGGAGTATAATCATGTTACTTGAAGATGTACCATATCATTTCATTATCCGTAAAGGGCGAACATCTACCAACATTGAAACATACAAATCCTAAACCTTGACCATCATTGTATTTTTAGTACGTTTATTTAAAGGTTACCAATTTTTTAATAATTTAATTTAATATTTTAGATCATATATTTTTCAATAAAAAATTCAATTGATACTAGTTAAAAATAGACTATTTTTCTTTCAAACAAATAAATGAAGGGAAATAATCACATTAGAAAAAGGGGCCCCACAAATAATAAAAATGATTTTATTTTTACGATGAAAAACGGAAAAAAAACATTAAAATGGAACTAGAAGTGGAAATTTCCTATTGAAAAATCTGTAAACCTACGGTGTAACATTATTATAGTTCAGTACATAAGTAAATTTTGTAACAATTCATTAATGATTTGGTAAAATGATTCGTCGATGTCCAAAGGAAAATATCAAGGCCAACAAAGAAAATGAAGATGATGACATCAGGGAAACACCAGAAATCATCAGTGAATTTTATAATCAATCACATTTCATCCTGAAGCACGCGGCTAGAGCAGGGCTTGCCGTGAGAAGAGGTTTGTGTGGAGGGAAAGCGGGTGACTGAGATCTTGAGACAGTAAAAGCTGCTATTCAACCTAAAGGACAAACAAAACGATTTCATTGTGAGTTTATATCAAAGCTTCGTCTTTAAAAGAGCCTTTAAAATCATGAATGTGCGTTAGCCTTTGTTATCTGCAGAGGAAGCCATACATTTTTCTTCCTTCTCTATCGCAGAGTATGAGACAGAGAGACTCTGAAGAACTTGGGGCAATATTGTCTTCCTCGAGCCTTGTAGCATGTCAATCTCCCAACTTAAAGAAATTCAACTCTATCTGTTCCAAACAAATACCGGCACTTTCTCGGGTTGAACTTTCCTTCTGACTGACCCTTTTGGCTGTCCTTATAACTATAACTAGGCATTGTTTCCCCACTATTAGTAACTAGCGACCAGCACCACTATTCCTCCACCCTCATTCCCTGTAGGACTCTACCCAATTCAAACTCAATCGTCAGCTAACCGCTAATCCGAAGGCTCACCAACTCCCATCATACTGTTTCGCTGCCTCCTGGCATGGTTTTGTTATAAGGTCCAATCACTAGCTAGGACAAGAAGCTAGTTAGCCCCGCTGAGGGGTTCACTATTCACCAGTTTCAAACCAAAATTAGTTCATTTCAATAATCCTCACCATCACTCCCTGACATCATCAGAGGCAGACACACGGAGGAAACGGTGACTGATGTGTGTGTTTCAGTATAATCTTTTTCCCCATTTGGTTATCAGATTTTGTTATCAGATACACAGAGAAATACTTATAATGATTTACTATTATAAAATGTGCCGGTGCATTATATCGTTCTGATTATTTTAATATATATCATTCTACAATTCTGGGCAGAGATTGATATGTCTTTGACCATAGAAGCAATAGATTTGAGTGGACATGTAAAGCGGGCGACATTCATATGCACAAGGAAGAATAATTAGAGTTCTACCCACTCCCCCACCCTCAAATCGTGAAAGCCGGAGCCACATGTGCTCGTGCTCTCTTCTTGTCCGTCTCACTGTCCGTTTGACTATAAAATTTTCTCTCATCGCCAAGAAGTTACTATGCTATCAGCTTTTACTCTTGTATTTCTAGAAAATTTCTGTATCATCATTTACATCGCACAGCAAATACCACTCCTCCAGTATTGTGCAGAGTAACAAACCACAAACTACAGTCATTCAAACTGATTAAAAGTCACTAAAATAAAATTAGAGACAGATCCATTCCTGCCCGTGTGACCAAACAGAGGATTTTCAATGCAGTTGAGAGAAAAAGAGCAATTTTAGATTTTCTGTGTTTAAAGTTCACAAACACTTCTAATGTTAGCCACTTTGAGATCACAAAAGGGTCTAAAGGGATGTAATGCATGGCATGAAATATATTGCTTTCGAGGAATATACCCCCAACAAAGACCAGAAAAAAACAAAACTTTAATTTCTTTGGGATGGGTGGGGATTTGAAAATGAGGCTTTAATAAACTAGTGGCTCCAGCAAACTTTGAGTTATCACTATTTTCTTAAAAAGAAGAGCTGATTACTTGGTTCCACCATAAACTCTCTGCTTTACTACATAAAAAGAACAGCACCCAATTGTAAAACATGAATAGGTGTGAACATAAGGTGGAAACAAAAGCAAAAACCGTACATGATAAAGGCAGCCAACGAATGGTCTATCTTGTCCTTGGATTTAGACATACCTGACAGTAGTATATTTACTTCATTATTTGCTTCGATTTCAGGAAAGGACCCCCCAGTAGCTTTCTCTTTCTCTTGATTACACCTCTGAGGCTCTGACCTTTGGAAGCCCAAGAGAGACGAAGGGCCTAATCTCTCTCCGAGCTCTTACTGATACTGGCAAACTGATTAGGCTGATAGTATTTCTGCCCTTCTTCCTGGTGGGTCATAATGTCGCGCTGCGAGTGAGCGGGAAAAAATGTGTACTAACACTTGACTGGAGTCAGGAAATAGAGAGGCTCGAAACTGGATAAATCCCCCACACAAAAAGGAATAACAAATATATAAGCATTTCAACACCTAACCTCGTTTTGATATTGGTCCAAGTTATTCAAGATGAGCAATATCACTCAGTATAATACCCAACTTCTAAATACTCATTGAACTATTGAGGTGTCATGCTTAAATTTTAATTCAACTTAAAACCAAATAAATCTACATGAACCCCAAAATTCGCGCATTCACTCAATAAAACCAAAAATGCATTAAGATTAAAACAAAAATTAAAGGAGAGGAAATGAACAGAGCTGATTTATTTTTCAGTTGGGACCCAGACTTCGGGTCCCTACCGAAAACACCCGTATCCTGCGCCAAAGATTGGCTGATTCACATGATGACATCTCTTTCATTCATTCAAATCAATGTTTCAACATCACATTCTTCTCCCTATATAAGCCTGGTTTCGAACCACGTTTTCCTATCAAGCTGAAAGCCAAATTCTCTTCAAAAAATCTCTCACAAACAATTTGTCAAACGCATGGAGTACAACATCCCTCCTACCAGCAACCATAACTCATCAACAGCGTCATCTTCGAAGGCGAAAAAAAAGAGCGGGAAGAAAAGCAAGGGAGGAGTGAAGCTTTCCACTGATCCACAGAGCGTGGCGGCTCGAGAACGAAGGCATCGAATCAGCGATCGGTTCAAGATCTTGCAGAGCATGGTCCCTGGTGGGAGTAAGATGGACACAGTGTCCATGTTGGAGGAAGCGATCCATTACGTGAAGTTTCTGAAAACTCAGATATGGCTCCACCAAACCATGATCAGCTCTGTTGACGATGACCTTCCACTTCCCAACCATGAACAGTTCACTTCGCTTCAACAAAACCCATCATCTTCTTCTTCCGTGGGTTCTGTGCAGAATTTGACACAGATACCACTGGAACAGTATTGCTGCTTCCAAAATGAAGCGGCAACAACAATATTGGACGCCGATATGAACTATTGGCCAGCGTAGTCTTCTCTTCTCTACTCGTCCTATAAGCTTAGTACGTCTACTTAGTATCTGGCGTAAGGCTAGCTGTGATGTGATTACAAAATCTGCGTGTAAAAAATTGTTCAAATGCTGTCTTAGTTGGTGTGTGTGATCTATGATGCTGTTTTGTAGTGAAGGAAATGTCACTCTAGCCTTTTTGCACTGTGATTATCAGACTTTTTAGTTTTTTTATTAAGATCTTTTGATAAAGAAATACATGCATAAATGAAGTCTGAAAAATTAATGTTGATTTACGAAGAAAAACATATTTAATGTTGAAAGTTGAACGAAGCAACACATTTATGATTTAAAAGAACACCATATATCAAATTTGAACCTGAGCTTTCTCTCTCTCTCCAAATTTGAAGTTATAAATCCTTAGAGTTGGATGATCAAGGGATATAATCGTGATTTGAGTGTTGATCCTATCAGCCGAAGGTGTCTAGTTTGGGAATCGCCTGCACCACATTTGAGATGTTTGGTTAATGAGCTCTTTTGAGTTTTGTATTTATAAATTAATTTTAAAAAATAATCATGTTTTACAAATTAGTGAAATTACATAGATACATAATGTCTCTTACATATAGAGTGAACAAGGAAAATAATTTAGTTCTGTTTTCCAGCATTTCATATGACATATTCACGCCCAATATGTAACGCTCGTTGTGTTTTCAAGTCCAAAGTATCAATTTTTCTTTTTTTTTAAAAAAAAAGTCAAAGAACAATATAAGAATATAACTTTAAAATAAAATGTTAACACTTAACAAAGTCCCCCAATGGAATTTAACTTTAATAATTTCAAAATTAGACACGTTTTTTTAACATTATGATAGTTAAAAAGAAAGTAAGGTGTGAATAGAGATTAGGGGTTTAACCAACAAACGTTGGTCGGTCCTAATGGAGGCATTATGGCTACTTAAATAGGACCTTTTGAATTTGAATTTATGTGAATATAAAAAATATTTTTAAAAAAGTTACTTTTAATTAAACTTGATAATTTTTCAATCTAATCCATTTAGATAATCATATATATAAAAAATATTCACATCTTAAAATCTTGTATTTCTTAATTATGTGATAAATTTCATCATGAAAAAAAATTAAAGTAAAAATGGTCAACAGGATGGGGAGGTAAAAATACCTAGAAATGAGGATTAAATTTCAAAAAACTTAAAAGGTCCTTGAAAGAAATTAAGTTTAGCTGAGAAAATTATTAGAATATCTGTCTGATTTAATATTGAAATTGAATTGCCATTAAAAAAATATGGCGGGAATGGACCAATTATATTATGACACATCATCCAATTAAAATATATTTTTAATTTTCTAACTTTATATAAAATTTTAATTTAATTTTTTAATTTTATTAGGTATTTTTTTAGTTGTCTAATCTTAATATCATTAGTTTTAAATAATTATTTTTGTGTCAATCATTATTATTTTTAAAAATTAAATTTAACATGTCAATATTTAAAAATATTTAATTAATATTTAAAAGTTCAATGTAAAAATTTTTTATGATAAAACTAATAATATTAAAATTTAAAAAATTAAAAATATATTTTATAAAATTAAGAGATCAATATATATTAACAAATCTTATAGAAGGACGTTGATTGGTTAGCTCTTATTCAATCTCATTGTTCAATTTATTTTGATCTTAATTTAATGAAAAAATTAATCATTTAGTCATTGTAGTTTTGATATAGTTATAAGTCGGTCACTGAATTTTAATTTATTATAACTTAATTTTTGAAATTTTGATTTAATTGTAAATCAATTCCTAAACTTTACCTCTTATAATTTAATTCCTAAAATTTTAATCTCTTAAATATTGGTCCCTATATTTAAAAAACAAAATTAAAAAAATAAAAAATATTTTAAAATTTTAATATTTATAAATATTAAAAGAATTTAGTAATTTAAGATATTAGTAATAAATTTTAAAATATTTTTAATTTTTTATAATTTTTTTTTTAAAATATAGAGATTAATATTTAAGAGGTTGAAACTTAAAAGGTTAAATTACAAGAGGCTGATTTACAATCAAGTTAAAATTTTAAAAATTGAGTTATAATGAGTTAAAATTTAAAAATTAAGTTATAACTGAATTAAAATTACAAGAATTAAACAATTAATTTTTTTAATTTAATTCTCTCATGCAATTAGCTGTATTCTTGTGCTATTTTTTCTATCTTTCCTATTTTCATCAATCCTACTACCAGCTCCCATTTCAAACCGAAACATTTATCTCAATCATATCTCCAGCTCCATTTATGCCGTGGCTTATTCCCAATGATTCTTAATCCCCTGTTTGGTCCCCTCTGTTGACAGGACCATAAATTCCTTCCATCTTATTGGTCATCTGACTTTGTTATGATGTCAATACTATACTCTCATTGGTTCATTCAATTTTGTATATCCCTCGGTTATATGTTCGGTTTTGGGATTCAATCCTGCCTGATTCAGTTTAAATCCAAGGGAGCATTAACTCCAACCGTTTATTAACTCTATTGACGTCCATTGCTCTTTCCAATGCCTATTCTAATCTTCAATTTCTCGAGAGCGTTTCCTTTACTTCACTTTCTTCATTCTAGTTCTACATACCAGTCTTCCTTCCCTTCGCATTTCTTGACAGCCAGTTCGGATTCCTCTCCTCTTATCGTAGAATCTCATGGTTCAGGTAATATTCTTTTCTTTTTACAATCAGTCATTTGTTTTTTTTTTTTTTTTCCTGCAACGTCTTCTCTGTCCTCTCTATTATTAAAGTTTTGTTTATTTATAGATGGATACCAATCTTTAATTCAAGCTGTTCTTTTCCTATAGACGTGATACACTCTCCCAGAATTGAACTTATTTGTTCTCTCAGACTCTCAATCGTGCTTCTCTCATCATTGAAGAATTTTGCGGATCCAAAGTTGAGTTCAATGTCTTTGGGGACCATACCAAATGGTGGCCTCGCCGCCGGCAGGTCCACCACTAGTCGTCCCACCTCTGTCTACGGTGATGTCCAAACCAGTCGTATCGGCTACAATCTTCCTCTTCCTTCCGTTCTCTGAAATCCTCAGGTTGTTGGTGGTCCCTGAAGCTCCGCTGCTGGACATCCAGGCATCAACTTATGCAGTCTATGAATTTTCTAGATTCTTCTCATCCTTGAGTCTTACATCAACTTATGCAATCTATCAATTTGGGGAATTTCTATTGTATATGTGAAATTAAGCATGCGTGCGAGGAGAGGGGGAAAAAAGAAACCACCTCAAGGTCTTATATCCCTGCCTTATTGTTAATGAGATATCCTTTCCTATTTTAAAGATATTCTTGATACGTGTGTCATCTAGAATCCTTATGAAGTTTTCCTGTGATAAATGGTTTCTCTCTCCCATGTTTTTTCTAGAAGGCACCACATACTGAAACTTTTCATATTATTTGCAGTGATTGTCACTGTGCATTATATTGATTTAATTTAATTATTGCATATTAAGCACAGGGGCATTGTCACGGTTGATCCTATCAGCTGATTCTCTTAGAATGGCAATAAATGAGTTTCGAGCATCAAAGGTGAACAAAAATATTGACATCTTCATTTTGGGTATAAATTCAGCAAGCAAAAATGTGATGATAGCATTGAATAATGTCTAAATCTGAATATTTCTTTGAATTAAATTTTTAATTAAAAGTAGTAGACATGTATGAGTATTATTGAGATTTTATAATGTAACATAGGAGGAATTGTTTGAAAATTTGATTGAATGTGTGTGTGTATTCTTGGAAAATTAGATGTTTGAGACCTTTCTTGGTTATATGAAGTCTGATTTGACAGGTATTTGATGGAATTAAGACTGTTAATTCTCTTGGATGATTGTGATACTTGCATACCTCTAACAGACAAATAAAAGGTCATACGCAGGGCACATAGATGCTGTTGGGAGACTTAAGTCTCTTGGTTACATGACTGTGTGATGTTTCTTGGAGTATGAAGGATACTTCAAAATAGGTGCTTAAACCTGCTGCTCTTGAAGGCAATAAAGAAAACAAGCAGTCAGTAGACATGATTTTCAAAGATGATAAATCCTTAAATGAGTTGTTCAGTGAGATAAATTGAAGCTAGATTTTGATGTTTATCTGCCAAATGATGGGAAAAGAAGAATCCATGTAATCAGTGTGGTAGATGAAATCAATATGGAGTATAAAATCATGGAATATTGCTACTAATACAAGAAATAAGATTTGTCATAATTTAAATTCGTATAGAAATTCATGTACTTGATATAAAATCATGGCTCTATAGCTACAATATTGATCTAAAACCGTTAGTACGCAATCAGTGCAATCATGGCTCATTAGAGGTATTAAATGTTGCTTTAATAATCTCAACAGCTGGCCAATGCTTCCATACTGTCCATTATATACCTGATTACACAACAGGAAGATCTCATTAGCAGGGCATTAAAAGCATCTATCAGTTCTTATATATGCATTATAAGTTATAACTAAGGTCTTAATAACTTGTATTCATCATAATGATTGCATTATTTCTTATCTCTTTCAAATCCTTTTTCTTATATCTGCTACTCCCATTTCATATCCAGATATTGGTATTTTTCAGATATATAGTTTTTTTCAAATTACTTTCTCACATTCTTATGATATCTAATGGACATAATGTGAAGAAAATACTCGAGCCTGTTGAGTTGGATGGAACAAAGAGATTTACAATGATACAAATAATGTTACATCTAGTGGCGGAGTTAGGACTAGGAGCAATTTTTTTTTTTTTAAGAATATGGTTATGCATATAATCATGTGAAGTTATGCATATTAACATTAAAAGTATATAAAATTAATATATTTATATAAATATTTAAATTATGTGAAAGGGATATATATATATATATATATATGAAATTGAATAAACTATATACTTTCTTTTTATTTTTGATGGAAAATTTTATTATAAATTAATATTGTAAAAATTTTGATTTATCATAAATAGTTATTATTACTTATTTAATGATAATGATTTGAGCATATCTCATGCATTTTCTTGAAGTTTAAATAAGTATGTATCTTATATTTTATCTTGATACTAATTTTCTTTTAACAGTTATTTTATTTTCTATTCAAATTCAAAATACAAAAAATTTCTTTTAATTAACACATAAGATAAAATTATAAAACAAAGTTGTTGCTTATTTATTTATTTATTTATTTTTTGACTGTTTCTGTTTGATTGAAGTCATTATTTCAAGCTAATCTCAACATGGCACTCACACGCTTTGCTCCTTTCCTCATTTCTAAGTTTGCTTCTTGAATTCATACAAGCGGGCAGTTGGGGGGCATGTCAAAATATGAGTGGGGTTATAGTGTAAATTACATAAAGATATTCATACAATTTTCAGATTTTAGGGGAGGCATCTACCCACTCTGGAGTTAACATAGTTTTGCTGTTAGTTACGTCGGAAAAAGTTACATTTTGAGCTCTCTAGCTCAAATTTGAAATTTCTATGCCATCAATTTATTTCTATTTATGTCCTTCTTTAATCCGTGCAACACAAGAAAATTTCATCATACCAAAGATATTTTGTGAAGTTAATATGTTTCAAATGATTTCAATAACATATAATTTCTAACACTGTAGATATAAAAAATTTAATAGTACTCTACTAACCTCTACATATTATTACATTCCTAATATAGCATGATTTATTATTTAATTTTTTTTTGTTCTTTACAGTAACAATGTATTCACAAAAATCGTTGGTATGTATTCAAAAATTGAATATATATCTAAACAAAACTTCGAAAGATAATATTATTGGTTAAATTGAAATTTTGTAAATGTTGTAATCTATATTACTATTTATAATTTTCTCAAGTCAAACCCATTCAATGCACGTGATTCAGTTTATTAGCTATTTATTTCACGTTTCTCTCCACGTCTTATAGAAATGAAATGTTCATGCTGGTTGCTTTCATTTGACAAACTCCTCATCGTGGGGAATTAACTCTAGCCAATCAAATTATGTTTTAATATTTTTTATGGAAAATTTGACATTAAAAATTATCAAATTTAAAAAGTCAATATAAAAATATACATGATCATTGACATTATTTAAATTATGAATATCCACGATGTAATTGAAGCTATTCTCTTTCTTTGCATATTTCATATGATAAAACCCAAACTACTTATTCACATTATTTAATTATTTTAAAATTTTATAATATCTTTGTATATCATACATTTTAAAAACATTCTCTTTAATCTAATGCATCAAGTTATTTTTAAAAACTACTCAAAATAACTTATTAAAATAATAAAAAATCACAGCCAAATAATTCATTCCTTTTGTTTTTATTGAAATTATTGCTTTCATCAAAATTATTTAATTTGAAATGATATTGTTCGCATTCGCCTTGTCTGTGCAAATGTTTTATTTCAGAATCATTATTGATTTTTTATCCATCAACATTCTCTTTTCCACATCTGTTTTATTTTAAAAATTGTTTGGTAGATTTTGTGATCATCAAACAAGCTTTGTTCAACTAATTTAAGGAATAATAAAATCAAGTTGAAGAGTTGTAAAATTTTACTAGAGCTCATGGTTGATTGATTTTGCCGCATCAAATGAAGATAAAGTCACTCCAATGTATAAATTAGAAGAGGTTTCTGAACTTTTGTAGTCTTCACATGTTAGTATTGTGAAAGAAGTGTCGGAGGTCATCTTGAAATTATTAGAGCATAAGAGTCTAATTGTAAAACAAAAGGTATGATTTTTGTTTTAATAATTGTTCCTTGCTCAACTTGCACAAATTAAAAAAATTGTGGCCATTCAAATTTCTGTTTTATGTTGCTTTCTTATTTCATAATTGTTTAATAAGAAATAGTAAAGCATGGTAAATATTCGTTTCAACGCTCCACTGTAAAAGTTTAAAATAATTCATTTTAAATTTAAAATTCTCTATTAAAATATGAACATAAAAACCACCTAATAATATTTAATTACTGAAAATTGAAATTTGAAAAACCATATTCCTACTTTAACTCTGTTAGATTTGACTTTATTTATATTATTCCTCATCCTCTTTCTTGCAAAGATAATCATTATAACTAACCCATTAAAGTTACTTATTCCATATTCTAATCACACATTCTTCCATTACTCCATTAATGAACATTTACGATCAAATGTGTAAAATATGTAAAATACCAGTTTCGATGCTTGACAGTAAATTAAATCTCAGTCACTTCAAATAGTGAAAAAGATTAAATTTTAAATATTCAAATTTTCAATTATCTCATTGGAACCTATAAAACTATTTTCTTAATACTTCACTATTGAATTGGTATATGTTTTTATTTCAATCCCTCCAACCACTCCTACTACCAGAATTAATTTTCCAACCAAAAGGCTCTCATTGTAGTACTTTTTAAGAAACTAAATTAATTCAAGATTAATTTTTTCAAAAGTTGTGTGTTTGCAGGTAGTTGACAAAGAATATTTTATGTGTAATTATCAAATTAAATACATTTAATCATGCAGTGGGAATTAATGTTCTGTTTTGTTATTCTAAACACTTGATTAATTAGAATAACGTTCCCTTGTTGCTTGCATGCATTTATAAAAGGCCCTATGTTTTATTACTCTGAATTATTTCCTTCCAAACATAACTATTCCTCTTTTTAATTCTTCCTCATCTGATTGTGTACCTAAATCATCTGACGTAAAGATGAAATTTAATGAGTATGACTTTGTTATAGACATTAATGACTCCGTAGAGACATAGTGTATTGTTGTGAGAGTCCTAAGAAAATGGCATACAGAGCGGAAAAACCCACCTTACCACATGTAGAACATTTCTTTCCTCCTCATTGATGTTTTTTTAATTGTTTTTTTAATAATGAAAATTAAATTAAACTTCTCTCAAAGCCATGTAACAAAAAGTATAAAGGCTCATTTTGTAATCGATTTCACCCCATAAGAAAAACCACCTACTCATAGCATGTTGCCACCACAAGAAAAATTCTTTATTTTTCTCCGAGCATCTCCTAATTGTTTCAGAGCAACTAGAAAGAGATTCTTTAATTAGAAACTACTCTCTCTGTTCAAAAATGTAAGGCATTTTTTGAAGAGTTGAATATTCAAAAATATAAAACATTTAGTTTTTCGAGGTGTAATCATTGCCTTTTTTTTCAAAAATACTTCTATTGATAATAATTTTATATTTATTATAAGGTGTTTAATAGGATAAATATAAAAAAATAAGATTAGTTTGAAAGTAGGTAACTACTTTATTGAAGGGTGAGATTTTATTAAAAATGTCTTATATTTTTGAACGGAGGGAGCATTTAGTTTAGATGTAGAATATCTATCCAAAAGTTTTTACAATTCAA